GTTGGGGTCAGGTGGGGCTGGTTGACGGAGCCTCCTCCCGCAGCAGCAGCAGCAGCAGCAGCAGCAGCAGCAGCAGCAGCAGCAGCAGCCGCCGCCCATCAGGAGGCGAGAGCTCTGCTTCTCTGCTGGCTTTGGTATTGTCAGCAGTGCCAGTTGCCTGATTGGGAGGAAGAGAGCACAGCTCCTCTTGGACATTGGGGTTCTGTTTTGCATGGCCTCTCTCTCTAACCATTTCAAAAATTGTATTACCTAATTTTTGAAAACTTTTGCTGCTGTATAATAAATCACAAAGGAAATTATGAACATTATGTTCAGTGGACTAAGTTGCATGATTTCAAACATTAGATTTTTTAGAATTGAGATTTAGTTGACATATAACACTGTATTCATTTTAGGTGTACAGCATATAATTCAGTATACATGTAAATCATGAAATGATTATCACAAGTGTGGTTAACATCCATCACCATGTGTATTTACAGTTTTTTTCTGATGAGAACTTTTTTTTTTTTTTTAAATGTTTTATTTATTTCTAGGAGAGAGACAGCATGAGTAAGGGAGGGTCAGAGAGAGAGGGAGTCACAGACTCTGAAACAGGCTCCAGGCTCTGAGCTGGCAGTCAGCACAGAGCCCGNTTATATCAGTGCTACTCCAAGATTTCATTTTTGCCAGACTATTTGATTTTGATTTTTTTTTTTTAAATGTTTTATTTATTTCTAGGAGAGAGAGAGCATGAGTAGGGGAGGGTCAGAGAGAGAGGGAGTCACAGACTCTGAAACAAGCTCCAGGCTCTGAGCTGGCAGTCAGCACAGAGCCCGACGCGGGGCTCGAACCCACGAACCGTGAGATCGTGACCTAAGCGAAAGTCGGAAGCTTAACCAACTAAGCCACCCAGGCGCCCCTCTGATGAGAACTTTTAACATTTACCCTCGTAGCAACTTTCAAATTTATAATAGAGTAATATTAACTATAGTCGTACTGTGCGTTAAATCCCCATGACTCATTTATTTTATAACTGAAAGTTTGTACCTTGACCACCTGCAGTCATTTTGCCCACTCCCCACCCCTCCCTCTGGCAGTCACCAATCTATCCTCTGTATCTGTGAGTATTGTTTTTGTTTTTTCCTTTGGGGGATCCCACACAGAAGTGAGGTCTTACGGTGTTTTACCTTTTCTGTGTGATTTATTTCACTTAGCATAATGACCTTAAGGTCCCATCATGTTCTTGCAGATGACAGGATGGCCTTCTTATTTATGGCTGAATAATATTCCATTGTGTTGATGTACCAGAATGAATTTATCTCTCCATTCATCGATGGGCAGTTATGTTGTTTCCATATCTTGGCTATTGTATGTAATGCTGCAGTGAACATGGAGGTGCAGATATCTTTTTGAGTTAGTGTTTTCTTTTGGGTTAGATATGCAGAAATGGAATTGCTGGATCATGTGGTAGTTCTATTTTGAATTTTTTTTAGGAACCTCCATATTGTTTTCCTTAGTGATTGCACCAATTTCTGTTCCTACCAACAGTGCACAAGGATTCCTTTTCTCCACATCTGCCAGCCCTAGTGGTTTCTTGTCTTTCTGCTACTACCATCCTAACAGGTGCAAGGTGATCTCTCATTTGTGGTTTTGATTTACATTTCTGCACATATGATGTTGAGCCTCTTTTCCTGTGCCTTCTGCCCATTAGTTTATCTTCTCTGGGAAAATGTCTGTTCAGATCCTCTGCCCATCTGTCAATCTGATCGTGTTCTTTTGCTATTGAGTTTTATGAATTCTTTATATATTTTGGTTACCTACCCTTATCAGATACATGGTTGGCAAATATTTTTTTCCCCATTTATAGGTTGCCTTTTCATTTTTGGATGGTTTCCTTTGCTGTGCAGAATCATTTTAAGTTCGATGTGATCCCTTGTTCATTTTTGGTTTTGTTGCCTTAGCTTTTGGTGCTAAATCCAAAAATTCATCATCAAGAGCAGTGTACTCCTCGTTCTCATTTTATACAACTCTTGCTTTCCTTGGAACTTTTTTTTATCTTTTTCTTTTTTCCTCCAACCTTTGGTAGCTCTGAGTTGGAGTCTGCTGTAACATCCAGGTTGGGATATCCAGGAGTTAAAAATAAACCCCAAGCAACTCCTTACCTCACTCCTTACTCCTCCCTTAATTCCTGAAGGTTCTTACCATTCTGCCTTCTTTTGTCCACATTTCACAGTCTTTTACTATCTGCTTTGTGTGTTGTGTCCATAGTTCTGAATAGTAATTGGAGTGTTCAGGTGGATTGTGCTTACTCCATCATGATTAGAATGAGGACTTAAAATCATTTATGGAATGAATGGTTAAATGAATACATTCCTCTTGTCTACAAGGTGCTCATTTTTGGGTGTCAGTATAACAATAGGTGTAGTATTAAGAACATTATGGTAAATTCCATGGGAGCTCACAGGCATAGAAATGAAATTATTTCTAGCTATTTTGGATTATGACATGTAATGTGGTGGTGAGGTCATTGTTCCCACAATAATCTGTGACACCAAGTGGAATGTTCTGTAATTCAGTTCAGTCCTAACACGACTCAGATTTAGTTCAGACCTGCAAGTTAAAGGCAAAGTCCTGAACACAACTGCCCTACTTCAGTGCCATCCCTAAGTATCAAAAGTCATCTGTACTTGCAACCTACTGAGTAACTAAGTTTGGGGGTTCCCACAACACACTCAGATTTGATAACTTGCTAGAAAGACTGAAAACTCACTGAAAGTGTTACACTAAACATTGTCGTTTTATTATAAAAAGCTATTCACAGAAGAAGGCAAATGGAAGCAATGTGTAAGTCAGGGTTCTGGAGTTGGGTGAATGGGGTGGAGGAGGAGCAAATCTGAGCACATCAGCCTCCTGAAAGTCAATGTGTTCACCAACCAGGAGGCTCCCCAGGACTCTCTTGTCCAGAGTTTTGTTTGGGGTCTCATTACAGAGGCATAGTTGGTGGGATGATTGGCCATGTGATTAAAATCCTCCAGCTCCCATTTTCTCCCTGAAGGTCTGGTTAGGTCAGAGTTCAACCCTTTCAACATGTGTGTAGTCTTTCTGGTGATCACTCCCATCCTGAGGCTATCTAGGCCACCCCTTGTCACTTCATTTGCATAAGAAAGGCACTCCTTGTCACTCAGGAATTCCAAGGTTCTTTGAAGCTCTGTGCCAGAAACTGGAGGCAAAGACCAGATATAGTCTTTCTTATGTACTATGGTTATCAAATACGAAATCAAGGAGAATGTGGAATTTGAGTAATATCTTGAAAGATGAGTAGGACTAAGTTGGGGAAAAGGCATTTTAGGCTGAGAAATTAGCAGTCGCTTCAACAAATGATGTTGGAAAAACTAGATAGCGACATACAGAAGAATGGAATTAGGCCACTTGCTTACACCATACACAAAAATAAATTTAAAATGGATGAAAGACCTAAATGTGAGACAGGAAGCCACGCAAATCCTGGAGGAGAAGACTGGCAGCAACCTCTTTGAATTCGGCTGGGGCAAGTTCTTACTAGACACATCCCAAAAGGCAAGGGAAACAAAGCAAACATGAGCTACTGGGACCTCATCAACATAAAAAGGTTCTGCACAGCAAAGGAAGCAATTAGCAAAACAATGGGAGAAGGTATTTGCAAATGACATTTCTGATAAAGGGTTAGTATCCTAAAATATATAAATAACTTAAAAAACTCAACACCCAAAATCCAAATAATCCAGTTAAGAAATGGGCGGAAGATATAAATAAATAGACACTTCTCCAAAGAAGACCTCTAGATAACAGACACATGAAAAAATGCCCAACATCACTCATCATCAGGGAACACAAGTCAAAACTACAGTGAGATAGCACCTCACACCTGTCAGAATGGCTAAAATTAACACAGGAAACAACAGGTGTTGCAAGGTTGTGAAGGAAGGGGACGGCTCTTGGCATTGGTGGGAATGCAAACTGGGCCAGGCTGCTCTGGAGAACAGTAATGAGGGTCCTCAAAAAGTAAATATAGAACAACCCTGTAATATAGCAATTGCACTGCTAGGTATTTATCCAAAGGAAACAAAAATACAGATTTAAAGAGGTACATGCACCCCAGTGTTTATAGCAGCGTTATCAACAATAGCCAAATGTCCATCAACTGACTAATGGATAAAAATGTGGTGTATATACATGATGGAATACTACTCAGCCATCAAAAAAAAAAAAAAAAGAAAATCTTGCATTTGCAGTGACATGGATGGAGCTAGAATGTATTCTGCTAAGTGCAATAAGTCAGAGAAAGACCAGTATCATATTATTTCACTCATATGTGGAATTTAAGAAACAAAACACATGAGCATATGGGAAGGAGAAGGAGTAGAGGAAAGAAGGAAACAGACTACAAAAGACTCTTAAGGATAGAGAACAAACTGAAGGTTGATAGAGGGGAGTTGGGCTAGATGGAGGATGGGTACTAAGGAGGGCACTTGTGATGAATATTGGGTGATGTATGTAAGTGATGAATTACTGAAATTTCCTGAAACCGATACTTCACAGTATGTTAACTAACTAAAATTTGATTTAAGAAAAAGAAGAAATTAGCATTAGCAATCACACAGGGGCACATACTGTTCAAAATGTAGAAATGTATCAAGTTCTTCTTTTTTAGCTTTAGTGTAGTATATATAAAAAACAATAATAAGTGGCGCCTGAGTTGCTCAGTTGGTTAAACACCTGACTTCAGCTCAGATCATTATCTCATGGTTCATGAGTTCGAGCCCCTGCGTTGGGCTCTGTGCTGACGGCTCAGAGCCTGGAGCCGGCTTCGGATTCTATGACTCCTTTTCTCTCTGCCCTTCCCTCTGTCCTTTCCTCCCTCCCTCTCTTTCTCTTAAAAATAAATAAACATTTTAAAAATTATTTAAAAAAAAGCTTAAAAATGCCAGAATGGGGCTCCCATTTATATTTACTAATCATAAGATCTTTTATTCCTACAGAGCAGAAGATAGAAGAGATCTGCTGATGTTTTTCCGAAGCCTACACTTTTTTGTGGAGTGGTGTGAATATCGTAAGCGCACGTTTGAACACTTCAAGGTAGGATCTAAAGTTTTTATATTTAAATGTATGTGAAAAGTGAAGCTGGTTTAAATTTAAACATAACCTAAAAGTGAAGCTGGTATTAATTTGGAGATTTAACATAGCATTCTTTCCTTAAAGTTTTCAAAGAATAGAAAATATTTTCATTGAGTTCTGGAATTCGCAGTTATTTGGAATAAATGGAGAGGATTGCTTCTGTACAAACCAGTGAGTCATTTGTATTATGGGGTATCTTAAAAGAAGTGCTTACTTTATACACATTTTGAAAAATTAATCTTTCAAGGGTACTTGAAACAAGGTACAAATGCTAAAATGAATATAATTGTAGTGGGCTTATCAGCTAGCACAGTCCTTACTTTATGAGTCATACTGTGTATTTTGAGCTTCTTAATTATTTTGTATTTCAAGTTTAAGTATTTAAGCCTGATTTCAGTAAAGTAATGCCTCTTAAGTCTGATATGGATACATTCAAGGACTTCTTTTTATTCCGTTTTCTGTCATAACCAGAAGCCAAATGTTTGGCTGCATTATAAAGACTCAGGTTCTACTTAGTCGGATAGCAGCAGTATTGTCCGCTGTGGTCCACACAAATCTCGTTCTGAAAGAGTCACTGTAATAATATCGCAAAAGCCTAACCAGTGCTGTGACTATTGATTTTCTGACTGGTACTAACTCTTGTTTATTTGGATTCCTTTTTACTATTACCATTATCACTGTTATCACTGCTACTGTTATTACTTGCATTCTGTTGGGTTGAGTTAATAAAATCTGTCGGGCATAGACTTTTCCTTAGAGTGAAAGACAGCTTTACATGACTGTGGTCCCTTGAGTTCTCTTACTGTTGTTTACTCATGGGTGCTCTTGGACCCAAACAGTTAAATAGCTTTGCTTCACATTTGGTAAATACAGTAATGACTGAGAGTATGTTGGCAGTTGTGGTGACAAGTCACCTAAGATGAGTTGTGGGAAATGTAAGCGTTAGTCCCATTTCCAAAGCTGATCTGACTCTAGGTGCTTTCAAGGAGGTGAAGAATATAATTGGTGTGTTTATCCTGTAGAGGACAGAGTGCTTCTGAGAGTGGTCTTCCTTGGTGATAGGGTTACTGGGATGGAAAGACACAGTCACGTTGTTGTGCAGCCACCACCAGTGCTTATCTCTAGAACATTTTTTATCATCTCAAACTGAAACTCTGTTCCCATTAAACACTAACTTGTCATTGCTTCCTACCCCAGCGCCTGAGAATCCCCATTCTATTTTCTATTGCTGTGAATTTCTAGGTACTTCATTTCAGCAGAATCATAAAATTTATACATTTTTGTTTGGTGCATTTCACGTAGCATAATATTCTTAAGGTTCATCCATTTTGTATCATCACATTGAAGAATCTCCTTACTTTTTAAGGCTGAATAATAGAGGCGCCTGGGTGGCTCAGTCGGTTAAGCGTCCGACATAGGTTCAGGTCATGATCTCGCAGTTTGTGGGTTCGAGCCCTGTGTCGGGCTCTGTGCTGACAGGTCGGAGCCTGGAGCCTGTTTCAGATTCTGTGTGTGTCTCTCTCTCTGACTCTTCCCTACTCACGCTGTCTGTCTGTTTGTCTCTCTCTCTCTCAGAAATAAAACATTAAAAAAAAAAGGCTAAATAATATTCTTTTATCCGGATATCCATATTTTGTTTATCGATTCATCTTGATGGATACTTGGCTTGTTTCCTTCTTTTGACTATTGTGAATAATGTTTCTATGAACATAGGTGTACAAATACCTGTTCAGGTCCCTACTTTCAGTTCTATTACAAATATACCTGTAAATGGAATTGCTGGATCATATGGAAATTCTGTTTAATTTTGTGAAGCACTGCATGTTCTCTTCCATAGCGCTGCACCATTTTATATTCCCAACGGCAGTGTACAAAGCTTCCAGTTTCTCCACAAACTTGCCAATATGTTTTGGGTTTTTCCTTTGTTTTGGTGTTTGGGAGATCACAGCCAACCTAATGGGTGTGAAGTAGAATTTTTATTGTGGTTTTGATTTGTATTTATCTAATGATTAGTGATGTTGAGCATTGTTTCATGTGCATACTGGCCATTTGTATATCTTCTTTAGAGAAATGTTTATTCACATCCTTTGCCCATTTTTAAATTTTTTTTTCCCTTGTTGAATTGCAGGAGGGTTTTTTTCAAATCTTATTTATTTTGAGAGAGAGAGAAAGAGAGAGCAGGAGCAGGGAAAGGGCAGAGAGAAAAGAAAGAGAATTCCAAGCAGGCCCCACACAAACACCACAGAGCCCAGTGCAGGGCTGAGACCCACGAACTGAGATCATGAACTGTGCTGAAACCAGTAGTTGGATGCTCAACCGACTGAGCCACCCAGGTGCCCCTGTAGTTTTTTTTGATTTTGTTTTTGATTTTAATATACTCTAGATATCAATCCTTTATCAAGTGTGTAGTTGGCAGATATTTTCTTCCATTCTTTGGATTGTCTTTTCATTTGCTTAATAATGTCCTTTGATGCACAAAAGATTTTAACTTTGACACTCAGTTTATTTTTTATGTTGCCTCTGCTTTTGATGTTATATCCAAGAAAGCATTGCCAAATTCAGTGTCATAAAGATTTTCTTCTTTTTTTCCCCTGAGAATTTTACACTTTAGCTCTTAAGTTGGGATATTTGATCCAATTTGAGTTAACTTTTGTATACATTGTAAGTTAAGGGTCTAACTGCATCCTTTTGCTTGTGGATATCTGATTTTTCCCAGCACTCTTTATTGAAGAAGCTGCTCTTTTCTTATTGGCACCTTTATTGAAAATCATTTGACTGTATTTTCTGAGTTCTCTGTTCTCTTGCATTGTTCTATATGTTTCTGTCCATGCCAGTCCTATACTTTGAATTACTATAGGTTTGTAATTAACTTTTAAAATGAGGAAGTGTGAGTTTTCCAGTTTTAGTCTTCTTTTCTAATTTCTTTTGCTTATTTGGAGTTCCTTGAGATTCCATATGGATTTTATTTTATTTTTTTTTTTAAAATTTTTTAATATTTTTTATTTATTTCTAGGAGAGAGAGAGAGAGAGAGACAGCGTGAGCAGGGGAGGGTCAGAGAGAGAGGGAGTCACAAACTGAAACAGGCTCCAGGCTCTGAGCTGGCAGTCAGCACAGAGCCCGATGCGGGGCTCGAACCCACGAACCGCGAGATCATGACCTAAGCGAAAGTCGGACGCTTAACCGACTAAGCCACCCAGGCGCCCCTCCATATGGATTTTAGAATGGCTTTTTCTGCGTCTTCAAAAAATGGAATTGGGACTTCAGTAGGGACTGTATTGAGTCTAGATGCCTTTGAGTGGTGCTGGCATAGTAACTGTTCAGTTTTCTAGTCGCTGGACACAGGATGTCTCTCCACTGATGCATGTCTTCTTTAGTTCTTACAGGAGTGTTTGTAAGGGTAAAATATTTTTAATTTTTTGAAAGTTTATTTATTTTTATTGAGAAAGAGAGAGAGCAAGCAGGGGAGGAGCAGGGAGAGAATCCCAAGTAGACTCATGCTTTCAGCACAGGACCTGATGTGGGGCTCAGTCTCATGAACTGTGAGATCATGACCTGAGCCAGAATCAAGAGTTGGATGCTAACCAACTGAGCCAGCAAGGTGCCACTGAAATTGTCTTTTAAAGATAATTCTGGGGGCTCCTGGGTGGCTCAGTCGATTGAGCATCCAACTTTGGCTCAGGTCATGATCTCGTGGTCTATGAGTTCGAGCCCCGCATCGGGTTTTGTGCTGACAGCTCAGAGCCTGGAGCTGCTTCAGATTCTGTGTCTCCCTCTTCTCTGACCCTCCCCTGCTCATACTCTGTCTCTCTCTCAAAAATAAACAAACATCAAAAAAAAGAATTTAAAGATAATTCTGTAATTTAGACCTTTTACTGGTGCTCTTTCCTAATTATTATTTTATGGAAACCACAGGTTTGTGAATCTCTAAACTTCGAGTTACAATGTTTTTTTCTCTATAAGTTTAGTTAGGTAAAGAGTATAGGGCTGCATCTGGAAACATGATACCTGGTATCATCCCCAACACTCATCTCTCCTTTATCAAGTTTATTTTTCCAGATAAAGTTATAATTTATTTCTACTGATTTATTCAAGATTGTGATAGTTTAAAGATTCGATTTTTCCAAATGAAAGAGAGCCCTCTGTTTAAATGAATTTTATTTTGTACTTTTCATTGTATATTCAATTCAGATGTGCTCAATATTAGGGTAAGCATTTTGAAGGTATAATGGGAATACTAGATGTATTCCATGAGCTTTCAGTCACAGAGAAATGAGGCATGCATGCAAAATAATGAGAAAGCAGTATATATTTATGTTTACCAAAATAAAATAAACAAGTGAGTAAGTGGTAAAGGACTAATTGTTGTGGTCTTAAGAGATCAATGATGTTTTAATGAAAAAAGCTTAACTTGGGGTCAGTCTTGACAACTTGGTTTCAATCTTGACAAATGGGGGAGATATTGGAAAATGAGCTCATTCTATGTAGGGAGAAGCAGAAGCAAATACTTAAAATATTTAAAATATTTAAAAATATGAATAACTATTTGTTCTGGGAATGGTGTACAGAGACCAACTTGATTCTGATGTATTATTTATGTTGGAAATAGTATTAGAAATTTTCATATGCACAGTTCAGACTCATGTGTCTAAAGCAATGATCATTTTGGATATAACCCCAATGTGATAGGGAAACTAAGACTTCTGAGTAGGTTTTGGGCAAGAGGAAAGTTATTTTAGGATCTTAAATCTGGCAACATTGTTTCCTCGTAAGTTATCACTATTAGATCGAAGATGGACTCATGCTGTTCAATCATCGGGTAGTCAAAGGTTTGTGGGAAATGTCACCCAGAAGCTTCCCTGTGAATGGGCGGGCAGTCAGCATGAGTGTGACGCATATGGGTTGGGGGGAAGGTAGGTTCAGTAATACCACTGTATTCACTATTTTCTTGTCTTAGATTTGGACATATTTCTTGATGAGATTCTCATTCCTATGGTGGTAAGAGAAAATATTTTGCCATATCTATCATATTCGAAAGCCTTTACAGTGGAGAACTTTATAGGTATTTTCTGAGAGATGGGATGGATGTTCAGGTTTTTTATGAGCATATTGATTTTGGTCTGCTTGACTTCTTAAAATGTTTTATGGTAGGTAGACTTAGAATTTTTATATTTAGAGAAAGGAAAAGTTTGTACTATTTTACTAAAGCTTTTAACTGTATGACCACAAAGCAAAATAACTTTGAACATTACTCTATTAGGTCTTTATCAGAGAGTGAAATTAGGCTTTATTTGAAAAGTTTTGCCTAGATATGAGACTGTACACTATTTCTCAGGCTAAGTAAACATATAATAACTGTCTTAATGGAAAGAAAACAAGTTCCTAGTTCATAATGAAAAAATGTGTGAATTGTAAAAGAAAAATGGGAGATCACTAGCAGCTTTTCAAAGTTTCTGAAACATCTTCCTTAAGTGCTTTAGGGATCCAGTAAAGGCTGGGAAAGACCAGCAGTTGAAAGTTTCTTGGACTTCTCCTTTCCCATCATTAGTAATGGAAATAGTGCTTGTAAATTGGGGCATTTATATAAAAACATACCTTTTAAATGTCACCATTGTATAAACTACTATGATTTTGTAATGCTGCTTAAATATTTTCACATGACTTTGTTTTGAACTTCAGGATTCAGTTTTACATTTTGCTACTTATGTGTAAGATTTGTGAACATCTTTGTTTAAAACATAAAATTCCTTCATCATGAGACACAAAGTTAATGTTAAATATTTATGCTCCTTTAGGCATTGTTGAGACAGATTATATGCATGTGTGTACTTTAGCTTATATGCTGCATTGATAGTGGTTAAAAGTATGACCCTACAGGCAATCTTTTCAGGCAGATAAAACTGTTGGGATGCTTTCCCAGGATGATGGGGTTGCCCTCCAGGCGTATCTCTTCAATGCGGTCCCGAATGTAACGAGTGTCATTAGCCTTGCAGAATGTATCATCTGTGATTGAAGTTATGTTGTTAAACTGAAAAATAAAAGGGGAAAACTGTTCAGAAATTTGAAATCTATCTTTTGTATTCTATGTAATGGGATCTCACAAAATATTCTATCTAAAAAGTGGTTTTTGTTTTTGTTTTTTAAAGATTCTAAGTAGTATCATAGATTTTTTAAAATGTTTTATTTATTTCTGAGAGAGGCAGAGAGAGACAGCGTGAGCAGGGAAGGGTCAGAGAGAGAGGGAGTCACAGACTGAAACAAGCTCCAGGCTCTGAGCTAGCTGTCAGCACAGAGCCCGACGCGGGGCTTGAACCCACGAACCCTGAGATCATGACCTGAGCTGAAGTCAGATGCTTAACCGACTGAGCCACCCAGGCACCCCTTAAAAGTGGTTTTTAAAATAGTGTACATCCTGTGTATCCTCAGGGTAATAAACACTCTGTGCAATCTGAGTACCCCCCACCCCCTGCAGTTTTAAGTCTGCAGTGTTGCTTTGGAAGACAGACTGCTTGCTGTTATAGTAACATCCATGTAGAAGAAAGCTCTATACATAAATAAGATTACACTGGTGGGAAAGACTATCCTACTTTCGAGTGTCTACTCAGAATGGGCACCATGTCCTTGAATGTCCCTTTACAGAAGAAAGCAGAACAAATGGGAATTGCTGTGATGCAAGAAGACCAATTTTAGTTCATTTCAGTTCCTCTTCACTCTTCTGTCACCTCAACATGAGATCAGCTGGACAGTCTCCAAAAGCAGGTGTCCACTGCTGTTGGAGAAGGAGACAGCTACCAGAGGTCATAGCACCCCACCCACGGGTCCCTCGGATCCGTGTGTCACATTAACTAGGAGATGCTGCGTGCTCGCCTGACAACAGAGCCCGCTGTAAGGGCAGACCTCACACCTTGGTTATGGGTCCTCTCAGGGGTTCTGGGCCTCTGGGCAGTGAGGGGTGGGGGTGGGGGTGGCTCTCAGGCCACCAGTTAGTAATACTTGATAGGCATAATTGACTTGTGGATAAATGAGCTTCCTAATGAGTCATAACATTGGCTAATAATAATTTACATTCAAGTAATCAGATATTATGAAAGGAGCAAACCTACCTGAAGATGAATCACACGTAGACTTTCTGGTAAATTAAGAGGCACAGATTCCAGGGCGTTGTGGTCCAAGTACAGGAAGGAGAGGTTGTTCAGTCTCTGTAAGGAGAAGGTGCTTCTGCTGGAGCATCACTCAAGTCAGTACATTTTCACAGGATTCAAACTATGATATATACACATGCATATGCGTGTGTGCACATCTGTGCATGTATATACACGTGTGTGTACACATGTGTGCATAGGTTCTGGTAATCAGTACGATTAATTGCTGCTATGGTAGTTGTTTGGTTTTGAGGGGTTTTTGTTTCCCAAGTAGTATATTTTGGCCCTTTAAGAAGGGTGATAAGGCCCTGCTACACCCCCTCGTTTCTCTTCATTCCTCGGACCACTAAGTACCCAGCCATTCCCAGCCTCAGTTCTCATGCCAGCTGCTGGGGCCTTTAGACTTGTCCCGTGAACAGCTAGTAAGGTCATTTCCTATGCAGGATTGAGTTTGGATCCCAGTGCTGCCATAACCTCTCTTGAACCTTCAGAACTTCTCATTTCACCTCCACTGAATTCTAACAAAATGAATACAGGCACACCTTGCACATAATGTGGGTTAGGTTCCAGAGAAACCACCACAATAAAGTGAATATTGCAATGAAGTGAGCCCAGTGTATTTCTTGGTTTCCCAGAGCATATAAAGTTATATATACACTATGATGTAGTAGCGTTATGTCTAAAAATTAATGTGCATACCTTAACTAAAAATAATTTTATTGCTAAAAACGTCTGGCCATAATCTGACCTTTCAGGGAGTTTTAATCCCTAATGACAGATCACTGTAACAAATGTAAGAATAATGAAAAAGCTTAAAATACTGCAAGAATTAGCAAAATGAGACATGGAGACACAGTGAGCAAGTGCTGTTAGGAAAGTAGCACTACTGGACTGGCTCACTGTAGGGTCAGCCCAAACCTTCAGTTTGTAACAAGTGCAGTATCTGTGAAACAGTAAAATGGTGCACAAAAGAATGCTGTGTGTCTGTGCTCCTGACAGACATGGTTGCTAGATGTTTCCCAGGGCAATTTGTTAAATACTTAGCAAGGTAGGACTTTCCCAGACACCTCTGTATTGAATTACTTTTCATGATCACTAGCCTGTGGCTGTGTATCATTTTATAATAGGGCTTCAAGATGTAAAGCATGTGTAAAGTTCAGAGCACTCAAACACTCCTTCTGTGAAGCCTTGATCAGCTCCTATAGGTCTTTAATATGCCAGTTAGTCAAAGGCTTACTAGCTGAAATTACTGTATCTTCAAATTGTAAGGGTTTTTTATTTATTTGTTTCTTTTTTTTTTTTTTAATGTTTTATTTATTTCTAGGAGAGAGAGAAAGAGAGACAGCGTGAACAGGGGAGGGTCAGAGAGAGAGGGAGTCACAGACTGAAACAGGCTCCAGGCTCTGAGCTGGCAGTCAGCACAGAGCCAGACGCGGGGCTCGAACCCACGAACCGTGAGATCATGACCTAAGCGAAAGTCGGACGCTTAACCGACTAAGCCACCCAGGCGCCCCTATTTATTTGTTTCTAAAAATTTTTTTTTATGTTTGTTTTTGAGAGAGAGACAGAGTGTGAGCAGGGGAGGGTCAGAGAGAGAGGGAGACACAGGATCTGAAGCAGGCTCCAGGCTCTGAGCTGTCAGAACAGAGCCCAATGTGGGGCCCAAACCCACAGACTGTGAGATCATGATCTCAGCCAAAGTTCGATGGTAACCAACTGAGCCACCCAGGTGCCATGTTGGTTTTTAAAGTGAGTCCCGTTTTGAAAAGTCTCCTAATAATCCCTTAACTTCTGAGGAACTCTGATGTGCCTTTACAGTGTCCCTCACAATTGAAAAAGGATTCCTTAAGTGTAAACAAAAAGAAAAGAAAAATGGAATAGTTTTACATTTTCCAACGGAATGTACATCTGTGGACTAATTGTACCTTTGTGTGATTGTTACAAACTTGATGATAGTATTTCATAGTGCTTCTCTTAGATGTTATCATTAGAAGCCACAAACTTTCCTTATGAATGAGGTCTACTGCCAGTAGCAGCACAATCATCTATTTGTCTGGGGCTCCTTCCGGGACTGGGAATGAGTGTATCACCTGTGCAGGTCTCGGCTGAGGCAGTAATTTTGCCATATACTGAGCATTTGGACACAACCTGCCTACGTAAATCAAAGTAGATCACCTTCCCTTTTTCCTGTAAATATATTTTCTAGAGTTACTAAATGAAGAATATATTTAATTTGTATTATATATAGAAATTTGTACTAGTTGCCATTATGGAATTCAAAAGTAAGGCTACCTACAGAATTTTATGGGCTAATACATTTAAGTGGTAGAAGTAAAATTGAACGTTTACTTTTGAAACTATATTTTCTGGCATTTGTAAAAGCAGTTTTTAAATATAAAACAAAATTTCAGATCAGAGTTTCTCTTTTTTTTATCTAATTACCATTGGTTGTATAAAACTGATACTGTTTGGTCACAGTATGTAATACTTACTTTGAATGTATTTGCTTTGATTCCTCTACTCTTGATTTTGTTGTATTTTGCATTAAATAAAGTAAGCTTGGGAGGAAGAACTGGAAGTTTCAGGAGTTGATTTTCAGCAAGTGTAAGTTCTTCTAACAGAGAAAGTTTTGAAAAAGTACCGTCTTCTATATCTTCAATCAAATTTCCCGTAAAATCAAGTCGTCTTAAGTTAGCTTGAAGGAAAAATATACAAAAAATATGAAGTTAAAGTCTCATTTGTGTGGACTGAAGAAAAAGCATTGGTATAAGAGGTCATTCAAACACCTTTTATTGTTAGTATCTAATAGTGTCTGTATGAGTAGATCAGTAAATTTTGTTGAATAAATAGTGAGCATCTCTCTGTGCTTGACATTGATGGTCTTCTCTTGAGAGCTAGAGTCTCAGGGTTGGAAGGGAACTTACAGTTAATGGAGTCCTTCCATCTTTCTGTATTTGAATTCTCAGAATGCTGGGGTGGTTTGAAACAAATTTTGGTTGCAAATCATGGGAACTAAGCATTACTTTTTTTTTTTTTTTTTGAGGGAGCTAGAAAGGGCGCAAGTAATTGAGGGGCAGAGAGAGAGAGAGAGAATCCCACAAGGGCAGAGAGAGAGGGAGGAAGAGGAGAGCAGGGCTCATCTGACGTCAGGCTCAAGCTCATGAACCATGAGATCATGACCTGAGCTGAGGTCAGATGCTCAGTGACTGAGCCGCGAAGGCGCCCTGGAAGCAGTACATTTGATTGAATAGAATCATTGTAGATATTTTTTTGGACTTTTCACCAGCACATTGCATTGTGATTGTGGATATGTTCTTAATCTCTCTGTGCCTTATTGTTTAACGACAACAAACAGAAGTGTTCCTGAATTTGTTAAAGTGATGCAGACTGAGAGAGAAATTCAGTGTGTGTGTATGTGTCTTTTGTATGTGTGGGATGCTGAGGAAACCGTTAACTTCTCATTCAGTATTTGAGGTAGTCACTGCAAACACTGAATTAGTGAATATGGACCAATTACTCCCAGGGACTATAAAGGGTTAGGTTTCTTTGAGCCTCTGGTCTCACATTTCCATCAACCAATTAGTACAAAATTCTATGTGTGTTTCTTTTTAAAAGTGTTGTAGTTAGTATATATTGTTGGTACATTAACATTGAACTCAAAGCCTCAGTTCTGTAGCTCAGCCTTGAATGAAAATTACCTAACACAGTGGTTTCTCTGTGAGGCAAACTGGGAATACTGGACAGCTCTTCAGCACAAATAGCAAAAAGCACACTGAACAGGATATCTCACAGCGTAAGAGCTGAAACAAAGTGGCAGAGGTCACCTTGTTGGACTGTGGCTGGGTAACCCCAGTGTTCTGCCCCTGTGCATGTGTCTGCACATGACTGCGGGAGTGCTTCATGTACTGATTTTGGGGTTACAAATGCCTGTGACTGAGTGGGTGAGTGTGAAGGTGTGGAGTCCACAAGTGATGAGGATCAGCTGTATTTGGGTCACTTGGGAGCCACCAGTTACAGCATGGATGCTATTCCGGTTAATGTCATAAAGGTGTAGTGGGGCCAGTGTGCACATGTGGTGTGATTTTCTTCAGGGACTTGGCACTGCAGAAGTGGAGGGTTGTGCTGTGCTCACAGCAGTGCCTTGGCGGCAGGCTGTTGTGCGGTTTGACGGGATCCCAGAAGCATCCTGGAAAGGAGTAAAATGCATCAGTTCCACGTGAGAACCATCTGAGGAGTTGGGTGGTGTTTCATGAGGATGCCTGGGCTTCTCCCAAGACCTCAGTTAAAATCTCTGGAGACTAGGGCCTGGTATCATTGTGTTTTATGATATTTCCCCAGATGGTTTTATATACAGCCAGGTTTAAGAACCATGAGTTAAAGTAAGGAAAAGGAGACATTCTGCTTTTATTGTGACGGCAGCGTCGTGAACAAAGCATCAAGGCTGGAGAAACACCTTGGTTGTACTGGCGCTCCTGAGAGGCCGCAGCTGACGGATCTGAGTCCTGTGTCTGAGAAGGCGTCTTTGCCCATATGTTTGATGGGCCGTCAACATCGACATGAAAGGCACAGTAAAGAAAGGTGATGGGGACATGTGGATGGTGTGGAAAGGAGTTGATAACAAGCCTGTGGATGTCTGTGAACTGTGGCGGATAAACACTCCAGCAGTGACTACCCTTGATGTGACAGCCACAGGTGCCAAGAAGCTTGTGTTTCTATGAGGCTAGCACTAACATAGTTACTGTGAGGTATTTTATGTAAAGTTAACTTACGTATATCTGCAAAATCTTTTGCTGTCAGCTTCTTAATCTTGTTGAATCGTGCATACAGATAGCTTGATTCCTTTGGCAAGGGTGGTACAGCATCAATGTCAACCTCTTCACAGTACACAGAGCCGCTTAAACACACACACAAAAGGCACGTGGGCATTTCTACATCGGGAAACAAAATCATAAAAATATAAACTGTAATTTAAAAACATTTTGCCTCTAATGGTAAAATTATTACTATCATGAGTGTTCTCACTAATCTGAAAATATATTTTACAGAATTAAAGGTGATAGTGGAAAGATATCATGGTTGTGTTAACTAGTGACCTGTATTGTACCTGATAACTGAGCAGGATCTTATTTTTGATCCTATAACCCAGTATCTCCTTTATTCTCTATCCATTTTAGCAGTGAACATTTAATTGCTGAATTGATTTTCACTTTAATGATCATAAAGCAGAACATAAGGTAAATGTAAGTTTGATTTATCACTTGGTTTGGCACAGACACATTGCAGATTGATGACCATAACTAAGGAGCTTATAAACCACCGGGAGAGTAAGCAGACTATGCACTTGGACACGAGAGGGTCGCAGAAACAGCAGGGACCCCATTGCGTGTCCTCCTTATGCCTCTTTTATCTCCTTCAACCTGGAAACAATGCCTTAGTCTTTGTTGTTCATAACTTTAAAAGTTTTGAATTTTAAAAACATTTTTCAGGGCGTTTATTTTACAGAATGTCTGTCAATTAGAGTTTGTTTGAGGTTCCTAATTTTTGGTAGGACTACGATGGAAATGGTGTTGGGTCTGCTGAGCTGGGTATTGGGGAGCACGTGGTATCTGCTTGTCCCATTCCTGATGATGCTGTCTTTGGTCTGCCATTAGGGAATATCTTCTGAAAAAGTACTTGGAGCTGCTAAACGTCTGATCTGTCACCAAACTGCCACCCACTAGTTTTATCATCTGTTGATAGTTCTTTTCTGAATTGTTTGTTACTAGGATAGTTTCAAATTACGATATTCTAAGTCGATCATTACTTCTCCGTTTGTTAGCTGACATCTGGTGCAGGGTGGAACATTTCCCTTTGCATTTATTTAGTTATATCAGTTCAGTATGAACTTATGAATTCTTTATCCCATGGGTCATAATAAGTTACCATCATACTTATTTTGATAATCAAATTGTCACAGAGTAGCCAGTGTGAACTCTTTTAAGCCTTTTTTTTACAAAAATTTTTAAAATGTTTTATTTATTTCTGAGAGAGAGGGAGACACAGAATCTGAAACAAGCTCCTGGCTCTGAGCTAGCTGTTAGTGCAGAGCCCAACGCGGGGCTTGAACCCACAAACCGTGAGATCATGACCTGTGCCAAAGCCGGATGCCCAACCCACTGAACCACCCAGACGCCTCATCTTTTAAGCCTTTTTTTATTCCTTCACAGCTGTTTGCTGTTTAAATGACACTTAATAAATTACACATATTTCACTTTGTAATTTATACGTTTTTGGCATTACCTATATACCCATGAAACCGTTACTGCAGTTGAAGTAATTGATGAAGTCACCACCCCAAAGTGTTGTTATGCTTTTGTAGTCCCTCCCTCCCAGCACCCACTCTGGTCTGCGTTCTGTGCGTTCACAGCAGTTGGCACTTACTTCCAAGAGAAGCACGCAGCATGTCTTCTTCTCACTCCTTCCCCTCTGCATATCAGCAGTTCATTCCTCTTTTATTGCTGCGTAGTATGTCATTGTATTAATATATGCAGTTTATATAGTCCTTCCTTGGGGGCATTTGTATTTAGTTTTTGGCTATTTCATAACCAGTGTTCAAAAGTGAACATTTATCTAGAAGTTTTTATGGTTGTTAATACTTTGGTTTCTCTTGAGTAAATACCTAACAGCAGAATGGGTGGGCCATCTAACAGGTGTGTAGCTTTTGAAAAAAGTCCCATGCCGTTTTCCATAAAGATTGTGCCATTATATAGTCCCTTCAGCAATGCAGGAAGATTCCAGTTACTCCACATCCTCGTCCACATTCCGTACAATCAGACTTTTCACGTAAGGCATGTTGGTAGTATCTTATGTTTTAATTTATATTTTCCTAATGTCTGATGTGTTGAGTATTTTTAAATAAACTTACTTATCATCCACATATTTTTGTGGCAGAATATTCATATCATTTACCTATTTAAAAATATTTTTTCAATGTTCATCTGTTTTTGAGAGTGACAGACCATGAAGAAGGGAGGGGCAGAAAGAGAGGGAGACACAGAATCTGAAACAGGTTCCAAGCTCTGAGCTGTCGGTGCCGAGCTTGACCTGGGGCTTGAACCCAGGAACTGGACTGGGAGACCATGACCTGAGCCAGTCAGTCACTTAACTGACTGAGCCACCCAGGCATCCCTCATTTTCATATTAAGAAATATTTATTATTTTTGAACCAGAGAATGTGTGTGGTGGGGGGGGGGAGCAGAGAGAGAGGGAGAATAGAAGATCCAAGGCAGGCTCCAGGCTCTGATCTGACAGAAGAGAGCCAGGTGTGGAGCTCGAACCCAGGAACCTGAGCCAAAGTTGGATACTCAAAAGACTGAGCCACCCAGGCACCCCTCATTTGCCTATTTTTAAATGGTGTTTTTGTATTATTGTTACTGAATTATAAGAGCTTATATTGTAGATATAAGATGTTTTTCAGATTTATGTTTTGCAAATGTTTTCCTTTATGTGACTTGTCTTTTTATTTTCTTAATGTCTTTTGAATATCAAATATTTTTTATTTTAATGAAGAATAGTTGATTCCTTTATGGTTTGTGCTTTTTGTCCTGTATTTAAGAAAACTTTGCCAACCACTGTGTTATTATCCTAAGTTTTCTTTTGAAGGTTGTGTACTCTAAGCTCTTGATATTTAGGTTTGAGGTCCATTTTGAGTTAATTTTTATATATGGTGTCAGGAAAGTTCGTCTTTTTAACTTAGAGCTATCCAGATTTATTTTTTTATTTTTTTTTTATTTTTACAAATAGTTTATTGTCAAGTTGGTTTCCATATAACACCCAGTGCTCATCCCCACAAGTGCCCTCCTCCATGTCCATCTCCCCCTTCCACCGCACATCCATCAGTCCTCAGTTTGTTCTCAGCATTGAAGAGTCTCTCATGGTTTGCCTCCCTCCCTTTCCCCCACCATTTCCCCCTTTCTTCTCCCCCTTGTTCCTCAGTTAAGTTCCTCCTAATCCTCCTATACGTGCAATCATATGGTATTTGTTCTTCTCTGCCTGACTTATTTCACTCAGCATAACACCCTCAAGGTCCATCCACATTGCTACACATGGTCAGATTTCATTCTTTCTCATTGCCATGTAGTATTCCATGGTATAGATAAACCACATCTTCTTGATCCATTCGTCCGTTGATGGACACTTAGGCTCTTTCCATGTTTTGGCTATTGTGGAGAGTGCTGCTATGAACATTGGGGTACATGTGCTCCTATGCCTCAGCATTTCTGTATCCCTTGGGTAAATTCCTAGCAGTGCTATTGCTGGGTCATAGGGGAGTTCTACTGTTAATTTTTTGAGGAGCCTCCACACTGTTTTCCAGAGGGGCTGTACCAGTTTACATCCCCACCAACAGTGTAGGAGAGTGTCCATTTCTCCACATCCTCGCCAGCATCTCGTGTTCTCTGATTTGCTCATTTTAGCCACTCTGACTGGTGTGAGGTGGTATCTCAGTGTGGTTTTGATTTGTATTTCCCTAATGAGGAGGGATGCTGAGCATCGTTTCATGTGTCTAGAGCTATCCAGATTTTTAACACAATTTTTTGAAATGATGATCCATTCCCCATTGAATTGCATTGACACCATTATAAAAAAACCAGTTGACCATATTGCATAAGTATATTCCTGGGCTCTATTCTGTTTTGCTGATCTACTTGTTTTTTGTTTTTGTTTCCATTTGTGTGTATGTGTGTGTGTGTGTATACATTTTTTTTTTTTTTTTAAGAGAGAGCACGCATGAATGGGTGGGGGGCGGGGGTGGGAAAGAGAGACAGAATCTTAAGCAGACACGGAGCTCTGTCTCAACAAACTTGAGATCATGACCTGGGCTGAAATCAAGAGTCTGAAGCTGAAGCTCAGCCAACTGAGCTTCTTTACTTGTTTATTTCTATGCTAATGCCACAATGACTTGCTTCCTGTAGCATTATGGCAAGTTTTCTTTTCAGGTGGTGTAAATCCTTCAATTGTATTCTTCAACACCGTTATGACTATTCTAAGCTCTTTACATTTCCACAAATTTCCGAGTCAACCTCTTAATTTCAAAAAGACTGCTAAAAATTTAATTGGGATTCAGTTAAACCTACAAATAAATTTTTGAAAAATCAACATCTTAATGATACTGAGTTTTCTGGTCCTTGAACATAATACATGCATAATTTTAGGTTGTATTTAATTTCTGTCAGCATAGTTGTCTAGATTTCAGTGTGCAGGTCTTGTATGTCTTTTACTAATTTATACCTATATTTTTAAAAATATTTTGATTAATTAAAATGTTAAATATCCCCATTACTCTTTAAGAACTTTCTTATTTTTTGGCATAAAAAGATTTCCCAGAGCAGTCTTATCTTTTCCCTGCCCCAGGCCTGATACCAGTTATTTCTTCAAGAAGTATTGGTTTCTTTGAGTGGAAAATGATATTTGGAAACCAAGATTTGAATGTTGATAATACTAGCATCACATTGCTTCTAGCCTCTTTCCACAAGGAGAGCTGGGAAATGTATATATGTGTATTTGTTTGTTTATCTGTATTGAATACACATATATACACACATATATGTGGGATATGTCTAGAGACATAAACATACATTCTTGCACACATATGGATGTAGATAAATATGCACATACACACACTGTGTGCATATAAACACATGTACTCTCACACAGAGAAACGTTTATATAGGCAGACCTGAGAGAAATTGCACATTTGGTTCCACTGCAATAAAGTGAATATTGCAATAAAACAAGTCAAATGAACTTTTTGGTTTCCTGGTGCCTATAAACGTTATGTTTACACCATACTGTAGTCTGTGAAGGGTGTAGAAGTAGTATGTCTAATGACACAGTGTTCATACCTTAGAAATACTCTCTTGTTGGGGCACTTGGGTGGCTCAGTTAAGCA